TTATTATTATTATTGGTGCTGGGGATAGAAGCCAGGGCCCTGTGCATGTTAGTCAAGTGCTCTGACACTACGCTACATTTCCAGGCGTCAAATTTAATTTCAGTGTATATATAAAACAACTGCCATAATTATTCTATATTAAAGGCTAAATCACCAACCACTTAGAAACAATTTTGCTTTGTTTTTCAAATTTTTTTGGCTGATGCTGTCCAACTAAATCTACTTACCCAGTTTGTACTTCCCACATTTTTATAGTTTTATCCCTTGAGGCAGACACTATATGATCTCCATTAGGCATGATGGCTACTGAAGAAACATTGTGGTCATGGCCTAAAATACATAATAATACAGCAATGTATTCAACAATGCATTACTAAGAGAATTAAGCCTCAGTTTACTGTGGGGTTTTACCATGATATTGTAAAAATTACAGCAAGTGCTCAATAGATTGACCTCTATGCAAATTTGAAAGGATTTACAAACAAATGTTAAGGGAGGAAAAGACAAGGTGGGAGGTTTGGTTCTCTATTTAAAGTTGGTTGAAAATCTGATATTCATTAGGAAGACATGCATTAACTTCATAAACATTGTTCACATTCCAAATTAGCTATGCTCTGTGGAAAACCTAAGACAGGACATTTATCAAGGAATAGATAATAAGACACAAAGAATTTTCCTGTTTTTTCTTCCTTTTTTTTTTGAGACAGAATCTCAGTACAGAGCCCAGGCTGGCCTACAATACTCAATAAATCTACTTCAATCTCCTAAGAACTTGGATTACAGGTATATGCCACCATGTCTAGCCAGAACTCTGTTTTGTTTTTAAAACAGGGTCTCATCAAACTCGCTATGTAGCAGAATAACTGAACTTCTGATATTCCTGTCTCTATCCTCAGTATGAAATTACAGGCATACACCATCATGTTGGATGGTATCAAATCCAAAGCTCTGTGCAAGCACTCTGCCAGCTGAGCTTTATCCTCCAGCCCAATAACTCTCTAAGTGCTAGCAATAAGCTATATGTAATTTATAGAACTTTAAATAACAGATTTTACAAAATAATTTGTCATAACTCCTGAATTAACTGCTCTAATACATTTAAGTGTGTGAAAAAACACAAACTTCAATTACAGACTCCATGCAATCACAAGCCTACTTGTGGTCTAAATACTACCAGATAATCTTTGTTTTATTTTCTTGAGATAAGAGTCTACTACGTAGCCCAGATTGTGCAGGAACTTTCTTTTTAGTAAAGGCTGGTCTCTACAAGTGATCCTCCTATCTTAGCCTTGAGAATGCTGGGATTATAACCATGTACACTGTGCCTGGATTATTTTTAAAATTAGTAACAGTGCTTGTTCATTACACAAATCTTAACAGTCGTATTTCATCATGTTTAAAGAAACAATGAAAATCCTTAGTCAATATCCACATACCAAGATGATTTAAGTATCTGACCTCATTTTAGCTGTACAACTCTTTGTCTTAGTATTATTACCTTTATTTTCCAGATGTAAGAAAATATACTAATGTTCCATGTAAGTAAGTAAGTAGAAATTTTAATCCTGAAAACCAATTGCAAAGCCCCTGCTACACTCTTTGTCTTAGTATTATTACCTTTATTTTCCAGATGTAAGAAAATATACTAATGTTCCATGTAAGTAAGTAGAAATTTTAATCCTGAAAACCAATTGCAAAGCCCCTGCTGCTTCTGAAAAACTACAATGCTGGAGGAAACTCTTCACAGCAAGACTGGGAAAACACAGACACAGACTGCCTGTGGAACCCTGACTCCAGCTTCCATTCTACCTATTCTCTCTGGCCTTCAACTTTTCCAACTGAAAAGATGATGAAAAAACAAACAACCTCCCCCCTCCAAATCCCAACCACCTGAGAAAGTTCATTTTCCTTTTCTTTTAAACTAATTAGTGACTTGGAAGTTTTTCTTCTCTAATAATACTCATGAATACAATTTAGTATTTTATTTTAAACCTTAAATTCTCCTAGCAGAAACCTCTCAACCACAGTAACTTGTACATGGACCACATACATTAATGAAGATAACCAAGTTAAATGTAGAGCACCTGCACACTGCTACCAAGAGGTTTCTTCTCGAGTGCCATGCTAGAAATTAAACTACTGTCCTCTCTACCCCTTACCATGCATGGTTCTGATGCATTCAAAGCCCTGAAAATCCCATAGTTTAATGGTCATATCTGCAGAACAGGAAGCCAGAAGCTTGCCACTGTGGTCAAAGGAAATGTCTTGTACAGAGTCTGTATGCCCCTTGAGAGTTCGTTCAAAATCTCCAGTCTCATAATCCCACACCTGTCAAGTGAACAGAAAACCAGTTCAGAGCAATCTAATTTTCTCATGTCACATTTACATTCAGCAGGTCAACCTGACACCTTATTGACTAGGTAGCTGAACAATTAAATAATAACCTCTGTTAGAAAAATCAAATATTTAAATACAAATATTCAAGTACAAACGAGCTTTTTCTCTACAGGGAAAACTGATGCTTCAGTTACCCAAGTCTACCTTCAGTATCACATCTGTCAAGTACCTACTATATAATCATGCTAATAAGAAGGAATATAAAGTTAAAAACTAGGTCCTTTCCTAGTCTTGAGAGTAGGCAAAGGCCTAAATAAGGGAATTCAAGTGCAAAACAACAAAACATGTTAGGGGCTATGATGGGCATTTGTATGCAAATTAGTGGTACTATTATTAATGTCCTCAGTTCTAAGGAAATAGAACTCAGATCCTTAAGGGATTAAATAAGGAAAGATCTTATATGATGTAAACTACTCCTGAATCAAGTGTTCATGATTAACAAGTGTATGTCATTTTGAAAATAGCACCATTTTTATTTTTTTTCTTTTTTGGTCTTTTTTGAGATAGGGTCTCCTGTAGCCCCAGCTGTCCTGGATTCACCATGATAACCAGAATGGCCTCAAACTCACAGAGATCCGCCTGCCTCTGCCTCCCGAGAGCTGGGATTAGTCCACCA